AATAGTAAGAAAAAACCCGCTACTTTATCGCACTTTCAAAGGATGAAGAAACCACATTAACTGTAAACTACTCCGGAGTAACACTTGCAATACGATGGATTGATACACTGCGCGACATACGATCGTACTATAAGGAGGCAAGCGTATGCGGATAGTACGATCGTATGTAACGTGACGGATCTGTGATTTGCCGAAAGATTGGTGATTTGCTGAGCTGCATTACCCAATACCACGTAGTACTACTCTGTGCTTTAATATAATAGACCTCTAACCCAGAGACTGAATGACTGACTAGACACAAAGTAGTTTTTCATATTCTCATCATTCAAATAGACTGCATTCAAACTGACAAATACCCCACAGTTCGCCAAAAAAGTAAGATGTTTTTGTAATGTAGTGACCCGAGTGACAGCGACGATGACAACAGCGATGACGGCAACGACAGCAACAGCGATAGCAGCAGTAGCGAGTCGGACAGTTCAGAATCAGAAAAGTAACATTTTCTCTCTCTTCTTATTGGTCGCATCTAAACATGCAGCTATGTTGTGGAAAGGTCAGAAAAACTCTATATTACGATTCTTTTTTGGCAAGCACCCTCCAAGCTGTCGACTACTGTAAACACGAGTTTCAAGTACTCTTTTTTCGACATTCAATACTCAATATCATATAATATATTGAACCCAAACATCCTCACTTTCTTTTTGATACGGAGAAAGTAGAAGACTTCGACAACCTTGGGGTGGGTAGATATTGGGTTTTGCCACACGAAAATTTGGTCTACTGCTTGTGAGTACTAGTAATATAACATTGTCGTGACGTTTACCATGTTTATCTTCCTTGACCCGGGTAATGTAAACCCACTTGTACACATCGCTGGAGGGACTGTTCAGAAGATCGGCGGTGGCTAAGTTCAGTTCCTCCCCATATACCACCCTTTGAAAAGTGCAATCTCATAAGCAGTAGGGTGGAAATGTATTGAGGGGAACTGATGCGTGCTGAGAGATTGGCAAGTGTTTGGTGCGGCTACCCATTCTAGCACTGAGCACCCTTTTTGTCCGACCAACGTCGAGTTGTTCGCTCGTTCAGATGAAATTTCATCCACCACAAAGAATTCACTCAGCATAGCTACATGTGAATCCTTAGCGATTCAAAGGTGTTTTGGTGCAGCATCGACCGTGAAGTTCCTGTTGCATCCAGACAGCTTGGATATGTTGTCGTTCATGCTGAACGGATATGAGTACACTCGAGTGATGCAATACGTGTTCGATCTGCCCAAGTCCTTTGGCAGTTCCCGTTGCATCCAGTCAGCTGGGACATGTTGTCGTTCATGCTTAACGCATGTGTGCACACTCCGGACCGAGTGATGCAAGGCCATGTCGTTAACAGTGCCCTCTACGTGCAAGCAACGAACGAGGAGTGCTACAAGGACCTGCTCTACAAGGCATACTGATCTGGATCGACGGCATCTTTGTGTACGCCAACACAGTGAAGGAGTATGTGGTTGCCCTCGAGGCATTCTTCGACAAGAACAGGTTAAATCCAGGCCTGGCGACGACCAAGCTGTTCACGGATCATGTCAAGTGGTGTGGACGCATTATCAGGGGTGATGGCGTCAAGCAAGACCCTATATGCATTGAACATCTCTGTGCGATCGCCTACCAAACGAATGCGGGCGAATTGCAACAGTTTTGTGCGCCGTGAACTGGCTGCGGGATTCGATGTCCAAGTACGCACAGACCGTCGACCCACTGCAACAGTGTCTGACGAAGGCCCTCGAGGGCAAGGGCTAGAAAAAGTGGATCACATCTGGTGTTCAGCTGTAACTTACCGATGGCGAGAAGCAAGTGTTTGACGCCGTAAAATCCAAGCTACGATAATCGGTGGAACTGTCTCACCCGCGTGATGACGTCACGATATGTCTGTTTACGGATGGAAGCGATTATGGATGGTCGATTGTGGGTAACGCAAGTGGTGGCATTCGATGACGACAGCTCAGTCCAAGAACAACGTCACGAAATGCTCTTATGTCAGCCCAGAAGGCGTGGTCAGTCATCGAGAAGGAGGCCTACCTAAATTGCGCGTGCTTGCGAGAAGCTCAACTATATGCTTACGCGACCTACGGGTCAAAATGTACTGTGACCACAAGAACCTCATCCATGTATTTGCCCCGGGCGAAAAATGGAAGGCGCACACACGTGGCAAACTTATGCGATGGACTGAAATTATTGGCGGCTATCGTTATGGGATCATGCACATCGACGACATCCACAACCTTTGGACGGATATGATGAGCCGTTGGGGTAAGCTGACGCCAAGCCTGGCGACCTAGAGGGTCAAAATACGTCGGGGTCATGGCTGGTCAAAGAAAATCAAAGCGCGCAAAGTCCCTCCACCGGCGCAACCCAAGCTGCGGCCACTAGACAAGGATTTTGTGTGGCCATGTGTGACGGACATCCGCCAGGCACAAGACCAGCATGCCAAGTTTCGGGGTTTCGGGGACAGACCAGAGGGAATGTAACGCCCACCTTGTCTTCGAGTTCAGACGGAAACAAGTTGTCTAATTGGTCACATAACTACGAAGTTCAACAACTATTCTAGCCAATCGCAGCCTATTTCAAATAATTTTAATCACTTCTGGAGGTGACAAAATTCCACATCGTACGTACGGTGAAATTTGTTCAGCACCGGTAATGTCGCAATGAAATAAAGAGGTCATTAGGAGTAGAAGGATGACAATCCAAGAACCTTGATTACTACCGCAGACAAACAATAAGCGTAAGCGTTCGACGCGATAGCGCAGTCGTTTAACACGGTGAGTGTCTTGAGTGAGCTCCAGGTTCAAGTCCCAGGCGCGTCGAACTTTTTTCTTTGAAAATTTTGACTTTTTTTATAACCTAGGAATTCTATGAAATTATAAAGAATCCACTCAACTTTTTTAAAAATTGAATCAATTATTCGCCACCAATTGTGGAATTACCTTTTCAAATCTTCGGCGGATCACATCGTCAGACACCATGTCCCATGCAGCGATGGCTCGCTTCACCATCGCCATGCGCTTTTGACAAGCAGTAGGCGAGAATGGATCTTCATCATCACCGACAATCTGCACTTCCAATAGCCACAAGTTACGGAGGTTGCGCTTGAAGTGCCATCACGTCCAGCGGCTGGCAGACGGACGTCGAATTGGGCGGCAGCGGGCAAAGGTGCGCACCCAGCTCTTCATACGTGATCTTGTACGACTCATCTGACACGTGACATTCGAAGTTGTCCAACAGCATGACCGAAGGC